GGAGGAATCACTGTCTTGTTGAAACAGGTGAAATGATCTGAGGAGTAATGGAGAACAGCAAGGTCCTTCTTTCCCTGTTGTTACTAAAAGTAGGCTTCCAACTCCTGCTCTACACACAGGCAAGAAAGCATTTCTGGTTGGCCCCATGTTATTTATAATAATAATAAAGTTGGAAGGGACTTTGGAGGTCATCTATTCCAACCCTCTGCTCAGGCAGGAAACCCTATACCATTTCAGACAAATGGCTGTCCAGTCTCTTCTTAAAAACTTCCAGTGTTGGAGCATTCACCGCTTCTGGAGGCAGGTTGTTCCACTGGTTAATTGTTCTCACTGTCAGGAAGTTTCTCCTTAGTTCTAGGTTGCTTCTCTCTTTGGTTAGCTTCCACCCGTTGCTCCTTGTCCTGCCTTTGGTTGCTTTGAAGAATAGCTTGACTCCCTCTTCTTTGGGGCAGCCCCTCAAATACTGAAAGGCTGCTATCATGTCACCCCCTGGTCCTTCTCTTAATTAAACTAGAAATACCCAATTCCAGCAACCGTTCTTTATATGTTTTAGCCTCCAGTCCTGATTATCTTTGTTGCTCATTTTTGTCTAACAGACAACCTCACCATCTGAAGGACACTCACCCTATTATCATAGACCTTCTTAAGGGCCTCGTAGCGGATGGATCCCTGGAAAATAACGCCTTGGAAAGTGTTGCTTTTGTCACTGGCCACCAGCTCCACGCAAACCATCTCGCCTTCCCCTACAGTCATGTCACTAAATACCTAACGAGACATCCAAATAAATCAAAGGAAAAAATAAATAGTGGCAGAGAAACTCAAGGCCATTTGTCATTGCCTATGGCTAAGTCACAAATGAAAAACTGGGATTTAATAGCACTGCAGGAGTCTATATTACCAGGAAACCAAATTCTCAGGAAAAAATCTGGGGGCACTGAATCTTCTGACCATTTCTAAAAAGTAGTTTTATTAGTTATAAACACCCCCAAGCTCCAATTTCTTATAATTTACTGCAATCTAAACCACCAAGATTATTATTTAGACCAGTGTTTCTCAACCTTGACAATTTTAAGGCATGTGGACTTCAACTCCCAGAATTCCACAGCCAGCATTGCTGGCTGTGGAATTCTGGGAGTTGAAGTCCACATGCCTTAAAATTGTCAAGGTTGAGAAACACTGATTTAGACCAATGATTCTCAAACTTGGTAATTTTAAGAGGAGTGGATTTTAACTCCCAGCTATGCTATCTGAGGAATTTTGGGAGTTGAAGTCCACATACCTTAAAACTATCAGGGTTGAGAAGCACTGATTTAGATAAGTGAAACAGTGTGGAAAAAATCAAATTCAGAATCAGAATTAATACTAGTAATAAAAAGGATATTTAACGTATCTTAAGCACCATTTTTCCAAGCCTCTAAAACAGGGGTGTCAAACTCAATTTCATTGAGGGCCGCATCAGCATTGTGGTTGCCCTTGGGGGGCCGGGCGGGTGTGACCAGGGTGGGTGCAGCCTACTGGGTGGGCGTGGATGGAGTGGGTATGGCCTACTGGGTGGGTGTGGCCAGCTCTACATCGTTCACGTCAAGGGTGCCTGTACGGGCCTGGGCAGGAGTGGGACAGATCTGAGGGTCTCTGGCAGAAGGGGGTGGGACCGGGGCAAGCGCCAAGGCATAGTGCATTTCTTCATTCCTCACCTCCCCAGCATGCACCCAGGGGGCGGGGCCAACGCGGCAGGGGCTGGTTCCTCGCTGTTTCCGGATGGCCTTGTGGAGCTAAGACTGAATGCGTTTCAGCATAGAGGGCCACCACAAAATTGTACATTGGCTCCCGGCCAGCCTGGGCCAAGACCAAGGCAGCGGGGGCCATTTCCTCACTGTTTCCAGGATGGCTTCACCGGCCACATGAAACCACTTCGCGGGCTGCATCCAGCCCCCGGGCCTTGTGTTTGACATGTCTGCTTTAAAACCAGCAGAGTTTCATGATGCAGCCCCAAAATGTAGGGGATTTTTAAAAATTAGGCTTTTAGTTAATATTCCATTCAAACTGCAAGTGATTTAATACCTTTATGTATCAATGTTTTATGTCAATTTAAAGGGATAAATTTAAATTCTAAGCAAACAGAGCTATGGATGTATGACCTAAACAGCACTAATTGCACCATTTAAAAAAAAATTTTTTTAAATTATTATCATTCTGCAAATGCAATTTTGGGAAAAATAGCAAAAAAAAAGAAAAAGAAAAAAGACCTTTAAAAAATATGTTGTAAAATTTCAAAGTAATTTATACAATGGTATAAATCTGCATATTAAAATACTTTATATCAGTCTGAAGCTTTAAGTGAATACCAGTGTTAGATTACAGCATAATTAACAACTGTTGCCAATATAACTCAAGTCGTAAGTTATAAACGGAGATAAAGACATTGCAGTAATATTTTCTAAACTGGAAAATTTGATATGTTGTAGAAATCATGAAAAATTGAGTTTTACTATCTTATGTTAGGAAAAAACCCAGTCATTGGATGTATTATAAATCCACTTATAAGATGGGATTCCAAAAATGTCCACATTCAGTTAATCTCTATATCAGATTTATTTTAGTATATATGAAATTAATTTTTACAATTACGCATAGTCCCAAACCTTCTACATTCTTCCACATAAGGGACCTACTCTGAGAGAGGACCTACCTCTTCAAAGTTGTCAATCATAAAAAATATATTTGGATAGCTAATCTTCGATTCCTCGCCCTTGCTGTCCATGGGGTGTTTACTTGGAGATGCAAAGACTTGCTGGAAAAGACCATTTGGAAAATATGATATAGCTTGCAATATACATACATAGTAGGATGTTCAGCTATGACCACTAGTCGGAGAAGGAAATGCTGGTGCAAGTTGACACAAATTATGCAACAGTACTATTTATGCACTGACATGTTGTACACAATATTATCGCGATATCATCCTTTTTATATCTACAGAAGCTGCAGTCCAACTCATGAAGTGCAGAATTATGATTCTGTAGGTTGTTGTTGTTTGGCATAGTTTTCCACTCTCAAGGAAGATGAAAAAAAAGTAAAATATAAATGTAAAAGAGAAGAGATAAAAGCTGCTTCACTCAACTTGCTAGTGTTATTGAAATTATAAATTGTACACACCAAGGTTGCTATTAAATTTCACTGACTTCCTGGATTTGTTTTGTCTTTGTACCCCTAAATTTGTTGTGTGTTTTTATTCTCAATTGGTATTCAGATTTAGGGTGAATTTAAGGCAGGTTTTGTGGATTTCTAGATCCTGCAGGAATTGCGTTATTTGTTTTTACTTTTATTTAATCATCTCAATCATGGAAGAATAAAGCTTCACTTTTTAAAAGTTGTAACTGAGAGATAAGCAGATTTCACAACAAAATTCAGAATTCTGCATTTTCAACTTGCTGAGTAGATAGAATAGAATAGTAAACTATGTGGGCATTGAATTTACCCAAAAGTTAAGCAAGAAAATTATTTTTATTTTAAAAAGTCCCGCAGTTACTGCCTCTTAAGAATCAATGGTAGGTATGCTGTCCAATGGGACTTTTTAAAAAAACTGTAAAGCATTACTGAAGCCGACAGAAATATCAAATGCTTTAATCCAAGATCATATAAGATTGTAAACCCTGGATCCTCCATGGATAGATCAAGTGACACAACCCTTCAGAATGTGTCTTCTGGCATTCTTCCCATCCTTTTAATGGAAGCTTGGGCTTAGAAAGGAGGAGTTGCCAACATCTGGAACCCCTGCCCACCTGCCTTTTCCACAAGGATATAAAGGAAGAAATCTGGGGAAACATTCTCTGAAGACCCCAGAGGAATCCACCACATTTTCAACTCAACCCTTTTGCCATTTTCTCCAGTTACATTAAAGTGGATCCCGTTCTATTTTATTTTCAGAGAGTTATCCTATTGACAGACAGACAGAATGTTGGATCCTTCCATATCCTACTGACCTGGAAGGAGTAGTAAACTTGTAAAACTGAACTTCTCCAAGTCTTCCCAGACCCTTTACCAACAATGGTTAGGCCTCTAGTAGACTCTTCTGGGTAACAAAGGATTGCATCTATGTATGTGTGCATTTCTATTCTCCCTGTGTGTTGGGTCTAAGTGTCTATGTTCTGATGGGGAAGCACAAAGTGGGATTATATGTTCCATACTGGGTCACATGGCCAGGAGGGAAGAGGGCTTGAAATGCAGCAGTCCCATCAAGATCAATTTTCTGATAAACTCCAAGCTGGATTCAGCCCATTTTCAAACTAGATGTTTCTTTTTGCTGGCTCCACACCCCCCCCTCCCCTCACACTGCAAATATGGTTGTGCTCTGTTCAGTTTGGGGAGGTTATCCTGCAGATTGATAGGCAGACAGAATCCTGAACTTTTTCCCCTAATTTCTTTCAGTCACCCTGTTGACTTGGGAACAGTATGAAGGGTCTTGGCTTGAGGAATTGGCAAGCAGAAGAAGAGGAGGGATTGATTTGATGAATGTGTATTGACAAATTGACTAGGGCAGGGGTAGGCAACCTTGGCTCTTTTATGACTCGTGGACTTCAACTCCCAGAATTCCTGAGCCAGCATAGCTGGCTCAGGAATTCTGGGAGTTGAAGTCCACGAGTCATAAAAGAGCCAAGGTTGCCTACCCCTGGACTAGGGGAATTTTACTAAGCCATTTGAAATTCTCAAGGCTATTCTGGGGTTATGTCTGGGGCTATCACTGATTGAAACTACTTGAGCTATATAAGAAAACCAGAATATAAGTTCAGGGGGGGGGGGAAATGGGGCAAAGGCTGAAGCCCAAAGGAGGAGACACCCTTCAAAGTTCCCAAATTGCAGAGTTGCTCACCTGGGATTTCTTTTTATGGATGTGAATATCCCCTCCATCTGAACGAGTACATACCGCACACGTCACTACATAATCCAGCTGGGGAAAAAATCAAAGTATTGGTAATGAAACGCCCATCAGATATCAGATTTCTCATTAGGTTTTCCTTGGTGTACATGTCCAGATCCCCAATAGAAAATAGGAGATCCTTCAGTTTTCATTTAATGACAAACTCTGAAGCTATTTCACAATAGAAGTCAGATTCTTTCTTGTCATGTTTCATGTTCAATTGCAACTAAAGGTCAATGCAATCCTACAGGTCACCTGCTGCTTCATCTAGATTTTCCATAGCTCTTGCCCCTTCTTGGATCTATGACCTCTTATCTCTCCATCATTCCTCCTTTCAACCTTCTTTTCCTAATCTGTGTGCATGTAAAGCTTTCTCAAACTTCAGGGTTTTTTTCCCCTTTGGCTCAGCCTATTCCTTCTGTCCTGCATCCATCTGAGCATTGCATAGTTCAATTGATGAATGGGGAGTAAATCCTTCTTCTTGCTCTATCGCTCAGCAAACCACCAAGAGAAATCCCAGCCACCTCTACTCATAAAATTATTTAGGCCAGTGTTTCTCAACCTTGGCAACTTTAAGATGTGTGGACCTTAACTCCCAGATGTGTGGACTTCAACTACCAAGATGTGTGGACTTCAACTCCTCCCCCTGGGAAATTCTGGGTGTTGAGTTCCACACATCTTCATAGAATCGTACAACCCTAGGGATTGGTTGTGTGATTGGAGGCAGGAATCCTTATTTCATCATGGAAAAATGGTTGTCCAATCTTTTCTGGAAAATATCCACAAACAGAGCACCCATAACTCTGGGAGGCAAGCTGTTCCATTGATTAATCGTTCTCGCTGTCAGGAAATTCCTCCTTATTTCCAGGTTGAGTCTGATGAGTTTCCCATCTGTTGCTTTTTATCCTGCCCTCGGGTGCTTTGGAAAATAAGTCAACCACCTCTTCTTTGTGGCAGCCCTTCAAATATTGGAAGACTGCTATCAGGTATCCCCTAAGCTTTCTCTTAATTAGGCATCTTTAAGTTGTCAAGGTTGAGAAACACTGCTTTAGGCCATTACAATGTGGCTTCTAGATGAGAGAAGAGCATAAAAAGAAGATTCCTTTAAAGCAGGCAAAGGACAAGAAAAACTCAAAGTTATGGAAGAGTGATTCCATGGAGGCCAGCAGATTCAACACTTGGTAATTTAATTGGTTAGTTGTCTTTCATCTTAATTCTGCAAACTCACTGAACAGTTATCTTCCTGAGATATTAAGAGACCAAGGAATGGGGCAGTTTAAATTATATCAATATTCTTTGAAGAAAAGAATATGTTTAAACTTTTCCCTAGGAAAATACCATACCATTGTTGAGCAACCTTATAAATAAGTAATCCCTCAAAGGTGGAATAGAAATCTAACAATGACATAAACTTTTATTCTATAAAATAAAAATATGTTTTCAAATTTAAACTGAAGGGCTGTTGATTAATCTAATAAATTCCTGGAGCTGGGACTAGACAAAGGAGAAGAAAAAATTAAGAGGTAGGAGCAACATGAGGCTTAAACACTTCTTGCGTCCTCCCCACAAGCAAAGTTTCAAATATTCTGGTCCTGTCCACTTTGGATTCTAGAAGTCAGAATCGTCCAAAGGGTTTGCTCACTTTTGTCCCCTACCTAATACACTGAAAGCTTTCAGAAAAACAGATTTATTTATGCTGTTTGGCTTATTGCAAGAATTGGTTTGCAGCGTTTCAATTTCAAGAACAGAACACTCAAGGTAGATGAAATCACAAATTAAAATCCAATCTGAAACAACAATATAACAGATTTTTATTTTATTTTTTTAGAAAAGCCAACAGTAGGGCAACTTTCTATAAATCATTACAACCCCTGGAAATGAAACGAAACCACAAAGGAGCCTGTGATGTCTGGCACTTTGATTCATAACAACAAAGCTAATTTAAGACTGACAATTAAAAAAAGCAGTCTAGTTTTTTTCACTCCAGTACCCCCCTCCAAGTGGAGAAGGCACTCACCAAGCAGGTAATGAATGACACCATAGTATCCTTATCCATTCTGCACTGTATAGAATCATCGGCCTGCATGTAGTCTCTTTAGTCAAGCTGAAACTGCTGAGGAACAGATAGCCTTACTACAGGTTTAAAGAGGTGGGAAATCTGGAAATGACCAACTGATTGGTAGATCGTGCAGATTTAAGCCAAGGTACCATTTTTATTCTCAAATACCCCGCCAATTGCAGGCATCCCCTCTCCTAATGGCAGCAAGCTTTGGAGAAGAGAAAGACTGAGGTCACCTTCTGCAGTATAAGGTTCAAGTAGACGCTCTCCTCCCAATCAATATCAGGATCTCCCAAACCTGGAAGCTTCTTGGAATCTCTGCGATATACTTCAACTTCAACCTGCTAAAAGAAAACCCAACAGTGCAGGTAAGAACCACACTTTAACTGGAAAGCTAGTATTTGGGGGTTCAGGAGTTTCATGAGGAAGGACGGTGATTAGCTCACAAGTTCAAGTCAAATATGGATGGTACCTGAATCTGACTAACTTCTCCATTTTCACCCCTTTTCCCATACATTCAGGTTAAGCTGAAGTAGGAAAGAGGTTCCCATTGTTACCTTTCAAACAAATAGTCCTTAAGAAAAGTTACCTTCCCTACAGGAGAATTTCAGCAATGTAGTGTCAAGGAGAGAAACAACTTAGAACTAAGGAGAAACTTCCTGACAGTTAGAACAATTAACCAGTGGAACAATCTGCCTCCAGAAGCAATGAATGCTCCAACACTGGAAGTTTTTAAGAAGAGACTGGACAGCCATTTGTCCAAAATGATGTAGGGTTTCCTGCCTGAGCAGGGGGTTGGATTACATTACCTCCAAGGTCCCTTCCAACTTTATTATTATTATTATTATTATTATTATTATTATTATTATTATTATTATTATTATTATTATTATTATTATTATTATTACTTTCTTCCATTTAGTATTTTTATTCTTATTGCCTCTTCTGTCAGGTTATTGTTATGCTGTATGTCCTTTATTAAATATTGACTCTATCACTTATGAGATATCTACATGACACCCTACTTCTAGGGTGTGGCTTATAATGTCCATCAAGAAATTATGACAGATTGGTAATATGTTGATTTCTACAGTCAAGAGCTTGGCTAATCTTGAAAACAGCGAAAGAAGCTTAGAAAAAGTTGGTATTTTCCATTGAATTTTGATGTTTTAGGGTCAGCAGGTTGGAAATGAGTGATTATGGTAGCATCTTTGAGCTTTTAATTATGATTTTATCAGATCACAAAAATAGCTACCCAAGATTAGATCTGTAGCCCATGCTAAGCAAGTCAGGAAAAGGAAACCTAAATGTGGTCTGTAGAGTCTTTATGGGTCATGCTTGATTCCAGGAATTCTCTATTTTTTAATATTGACTGACTTTATTATTTGTAAAAAGAGCTATGCATGTAAAAGTCCAATGAACATTGTAAAAAGATTCTTTCAGTTAGAACAATTAATCAGTGGAACAACCTGCCTCCAGAAGTTGTGAATGGTCCAGCACTGGAAGTTTTTAAGAACAGATTGGACAACCATTTATCTGAAATGGTATACAGTTTCCTGCCTGAGCAGGGGGTTGGACTAGAAGACCTCATGAAACCACTTCGCGGGCCGCATCCGGCCTCCAGAAGTGGTGAATGCTCCAACACTGGAAGTTTTTAAGAAGAGACTGGACAGCCATTTGTCTGAAATGGTATAGGGTTTCCTGCCTGAGCAGGGGGTTGGACTAGAAGACCTCCAAGGTTCCTTCCAACTCTATTATTATTATTATTATTATTATTATTATTATTATTATTATTATTATTATTATTATTATTATTACTACTACTACTACTACTACTACTACTATTATTATTATTATTTCAATTAACAATTGTACTATATTAAAAATCCATTGTGTTTGTTGAGATCTTTTGAGCTAGCCTGAAACCTTTTGATGCGGCTTTAGCAATCTTATGCTCAAGGATGCTGTTAAAATACTTTTCCAGAAATGCTGGAATATTCTGATATTACAGTACTTTGTCCTTGTTTGGAGCCCTGAGGTCAAATTGGTGTTCATTATTTCTTTTGTGCAAAGTTTGTCCCACTTGTCCTATGCAGAATCTAGAGGCCTATTGCTGACATCCTACATTAATCTACCTACTCCATCCATCTGATAAAGGGAGCTGCAGATCACCAAAGCTTATGTCTTCTAATAAAATATGTTAGTTGGACAAGGCAATACCAGGTTCCATCTGAAATATTTAGATTGTACCGGTAGTGATTTAAACATTCTATAATTAGAGTTAGGGTGCAATTGTGTATCATCTATTTATTTTATTTATTTATTATTTAAATTTATATACCGCCCTATCTCCCTTACGGGACTCAGGGCGGTGAACAGGCAATAATAAAAATCACAATAAATATTGAATAAAAAGCCTGCTCTAAAATACCCCATATAAAACCCCTAGCAAAGCCCAATCAAAACTACGCCAGGCCGTCCGCATGGAATAGATGGGTTTTCAAGGCTCGGCGGAAGAGGCGCAGGTCCGTAGTTGTACGTAGGTCGGGGGGGTAGGTCATTTCAGAGGGCAGGAGCTGCCACAGAGAAGGCTCTCCCCCTGGGGGTCGCCAGCCGGCATTGACTGGCACCCTAAGGAGGCCCTCTCTGTGGGAGCGGACTGGTCGAAGGAAGGTATTTGGTAGGAGGCGGTCTTGCAAATACCTAGGTCCATTGCCATGGAGCGCTTTAAAAGTTGTTACTAACACCTTGAAGCGCACCCGGAAGGCCACTGACAGCCAGTGCAGGGGGTGGGGAACCTTGGCTCTTTTATGACTTGTGGACTTCAACTCCCAGAATTCCTGAGCCAGCGTTGAAGTCCACAAGTCATAAAAGAGCCAAGGTTCCCCACCCCTGATCTAGAAGCTGGGCCAGTGGCTTTGCCTGGAACAACTTGACGGAATCCAGAACCAATCTAACCCCCTCTCCCCCAACCATCCCCTGCCTCAATATGGCAGAATTTCTGAATGGCTGTTGTATGTCTCTGTCCTTCCAGAGTTACATCTTCCCATTTTGTTTCCATACTTTGTTGGGTATGAAAACTGCTGACAAAAGGAGACTTATATGCTTGTTCCTAGAAGATGCCCAGCCAGAGAAATTTCTGGGAAATTCAATGACTCCATCCTGTAACCCTCAGATGTTTTTCCACAAATTCTTCTTCCTTATATCTGTGGTGTATCTATAATACACCAAGAAAGGAAATAGCTGGTAGCATGAGATGTCATCCACTTTTCTCTCTACGGGGAGAGGAAAATATAAGAAATCCTCTTATCGGTGATCCAGAGTTTATTTTAGAAGTAGCCACGTAGGAAAATGAAAATGGTCTCAGTGAAATAAATGCAGCTTCAGTTTTCAAGATTGTGCCTAGAGCAGGAGTGTCAAACTCAATTTCATTGAGGGCTGCATCAGCATTGTGGTTGCCCTTGGGGGGGGCAGGGGTGTGTGCGGCCTACTGGGTGGGCGTGGATGGAGTGAGTGTGGCCTACTGGGTGGGCGTGGCCAGCTCTACATCGTTCGCGTCAAGGGTGCCTGTGGGGGCCTGGGCAGGAGTGGGACAGATCTGAGGGTCTCTGGCAGAAGAGGGTGGGACCAGGGCAGAGCCCATCAAGCCGGATATGTGAAGTAGGCGAGGGCCATTTGCTGGCCACTTCCAGGCAATGGTGCATTTCTTCATTCCTCACAAAGGGTGACACCTCCCCAGCATGCACCCAGGGGATGGGGCCGAGGCGGCAGGGGCTGGTTCCTCGCTGGTTCCAGACGGCCTTGTGGAGCTAAGACTGAATGCATTTCAGCATAGATGGCCACCACAAAATTGTACATTGGCTCCCGGCCAGCCTGGGCTAGGGCCAAGGCAGTAGGGGCCGTTCCCTCACTGTTTCCAGGATGGCTTCGCGGGCCACCTGAAACCATTTCGCGGGCCACATCCGGCCCCCGGGCCTTGTGTTTGACATGTCTGGCCTAGAGCATACAGATGATGGCAATCTCTGGTGGACATCATTTGGCAGGCTGAACGCATGTTTGTAAACAGTTTGGCTTTGAGTGTTTCATACTTTTTATGTAAGTCACTAGGAATTATTGGATTCTAATGGTACATAAATGAAAACAAGCAACTAAGCAAATTCTGTTAGGTTTCAGCACGTACTGAAAGGGCTGCAAATGATTCCTTGGAAAGGGAAATACCTCTATTAACATGCCCTGCTATAATTTGGTTGATTTATAATTCCATTTGCAGTCATGCTATTAAAAAGCAGCAGCTCTATTTTTTATTAGTTTGAATGCAGGAAGAAATGGATAAAATGTCATTTTTGATTCAGATAAAATCAGGAGGGAAACAAAATGGGGGAGATGGCAATAGTCCATATAGAGTAAAATATCCGCAGCAGAGAAGGACGGTAGAACGCCTCAGCATTTCAAATGAAGATCTAGACCAGAGGTAGGCAACCTTGGCTCTTTTATGACTCGGGGACTTCAACTCCTAGAATTCCTGAGCCAGCATGGCTCAGCTTGGAAACCTCTCCCTTTCCCCTCAGCATGGCTGGCTCAGGATTTCTGGGAGTTGAAGTCCACGAGTCATAAAAGAGCCAAGGTTGCCTATCCCTGATCTAGACCGAGGTTGGACAAATTATGAGAGGGTTATCATGAATCCATAATCTGAAGATTAATGCATTCTCTCCTTTTTGGAAGAACAGTAATCCAGGGACAAAAAAAAAACCCCTTTTTTACTCTCACCATTATCAATTCAGCAAACCATTATTCTCTAAAAATTGAGAAGCTCACACACTTACATCTTTCAATAAAGTGAAATGTTTTCTGAGGCTGACAAAGAAAAGTCTGGCACAGCCTCGCTCCTGTCTCAGAGTGAGTTGTTTTCCTCTCTGTTTAAAAATCACAAGTGCACACCCCAGCCTTGAGCTGTAACCTCAGCTCTTTTTAGTTGTTGTTTGAAGAAAAATCTCAAAAAGGCTTGGCAGGCATTTTTTTTTATTGCTTCTCTTTTCTACCTTAAAAGAAATTGTTATCTTTTTGCAATGTTTTTCTCAGCCTTGGCAACTTTAAGATGTGTGGACTTCAACTCCCAGCATTCTCCAGCCGACCATGTAGGCTGGGGAATGCTGGGAATTTAAGTTCACACATCTTAAAGTTGCCAAGGTTGAAAAACACTGCTTTTTTTTAATGGATTTGCAGCTTAGGTAGGCCCATCATTAACAAACAGCAGGCAATGTAGTAAGGCAGACATAATAATAATAATAATAATAATAATAATAATAATAATAATAATAATAATAATAATAATAATAATAATAATAATAATAATAATAATAATAATAATAAAGTTGGAAGGGACCTTGGAGGTCATCTAGTCCAACCCCCTGCTCAGGCAGGAAACCCTATACCATTTCAGACAAATGGCTGTCCAGTCTCTTCTTAAAANGATGAAAAATAATAAAAATTTTATATTGAAAAAAAAAAAAAAAGCACCAGCTCTATTTTTTATTAGTTTGAATGCAGGAAGAAATGGATAAAATGTCATTTGTGATTCAGGTAAAATCAGGAGGGAAACAAAATGGGGAGATGGCAATAGTCCATATAGAGTAAAATATCCGCAGCAGAGAAGGAGGGAAGAACGCCTTAGCATTTCAAATGAAGATCTAGACCAGCAGTAGGCAACCTTGGCTCTTTTATGACTCGGAGACTTCAACTCCCAGAATTCCTGAGCCAGCATGGCTCAGCTTGGAAACCTCTCCCTTTCCCCTCAGCATGGCTGGCTCAGGAATTCTGGGAGTTGAAGTCCATGAGTCATAAAACAGCCAAGGTTGCCTACCCCTGATCTAGACCGAGGTTGGACAAACTATGAGAGGGTTATCCATGAATCCATAATCTGAAGATTAATGCATTCTCTCCTTTTGGGAAGAACAGTAATCCAGGGACAAAAAAAACCCCCCTTTTTTACTCTCACCATTATCAATTCAGCAAACCATTATTCTCTAAAAGTTGAGAAGCTCACACACTTACATCTTTCAATAAAGTGAAATGTTTTCTGAGGCTGACAAAGAAAAGTCTGGCACAGCCTTGCTCCTGTCTCAGAGTGAGTTGTTTTCCTCTCTGTTTAAAAATCACAAGTGCACACCCCAGCCTTGAGCTGTAACCTCAGCTCTTTTTAGTTTTTGTTTGAAGAAAAATCTCAAAAAGGCTTGGCAGGCATTTTTTTTTATTGCTTCTCTTTTCTACCTTAAAAGAAACCGTTATCTTTTTGCAATGTTTTTCTCAGCCTTGGCAACTTTAAGATGTGTGGACTTCAACTCCCAGCATTCTCCAGCCGACCATGTAGGCTGGGGAATGCTGGGAATTTAAGTTCACACATCTTAAAGTTGCCAAGGTTGAAAAACACTGCTTTTTTTTAATGGATTTGCAGCTTAGGTAGGCCCATCATTAACAAACAGCAGGCAATGTAGTAAGGCAGACATAATAATAATAATAATAATAACAACAACAACAACAACAACAAAACAACAATAATAATAATAATAATAATAATAAAGTTGGAAGGGACCTTGGAGGTCATCTAGTCCAACCCCCTGCTCAGGCAGGAAACCCTATACTATTTCAGACAAATGGCTGTCCAGTCTCTTCTTAAAAACTTCCAGTGTTGGAGCATTCACCACTTCTGGAGGCCGGATGCGGCCCGCGAAGTGGGTTTCATGTGGCCCGCGAAGCCATCCTGGAAACAGTGAGGGAACGGCCCCCTCTGCCTTGGCCCTGGTCCAGGCCAGCTGGGAGCCAATGTACAATTTTGTGGTGGCCATCTATGCTGAAACACATTCAGTCTTAGCTCCATAAGCCCCCCCCCCCCGCATGGCCTGAGAGGAACGGCGAGGCTCCTCCAGTGGACCATGCCTTGGCGCTTGCCCCGGTCCCACCCCCTTCTGCCAGAGACCCTCAGATCTGTCCCACTCCTGCCCAGGCCCCCACAGGTACCCTTGATGCAAACGATGTAGAGCTGGCCACACCCACCCAGTAGGCCACACCCACTCCATCCATGCCCACCCAGTAGGCCGCACTCACCCTGGCCCCACCCACCCAGCCCCGAGGGCAACCGCAATGCTGATGCGGCCCTCAGTGAAATTGAGTTTGACACCCCTGTAGTAAGGCATTGGCACCCCTGTAGTAAGGTATCTTTGGAAGCCAAAAATCAGGAGGAATCTGATAGAACTTTTTTCTCACCGTGTACATTTTATTAAAAGGCAGAAGCTTTTGTGAGCATGCAAGGAAGCATCAAAAGGTTTCTCTATTCGGGCTTTGCCAATCAGCTCTGATTCAATTCAAACTGGAGACTGACAATTTGAAGAAAGAAAGATTTGAATGTGCAATCTGAGAGCAAAACAATTTGATTTGTTTTTGGCATCTAATTTCAAAAGGAGACCTTTTAGACTATCAATTTTATAAATAAATCAAAATTAGCACGGATGGCTTGCCACAATATCCTTTTTTTTAAAAAAAAAAAACACCATTGCTTGATAACTGGGCAGATACAAGGATTATTAGAACTGCTGTGTTATTCCTTTAAACATGCAAATTCTGTTTTATTGCAGTAATCAAGAGGGAGCTATTGAGTTCAGAAATGCAATATTGTTCATGCCCAGGGGGATTTTACATCAAACAAACAGAGCTGGTACAAAATTCGTATTTTGTTTTCAATCTAAAAGGTGACAGGTGGAGATGGCTATAAATCACAGAACATTAATTTCATGCTTCACAAATGAAGGGGGGGGGGAGAAACTTTGACAAACTAATTTTGCTTTTCGAGATTAACCTGAAAAGAGGACACAAAATCAAACATATAAAATAGTTTCCTCTATTTGTATGAAAGTATGTCAAAAGCTGCATTTCTAGAAATATTTTCAAGTGGATAGAATAAAGCTGAAGTGCAAGGTTAATGGGAGGCATTCTTCTCTTTTTTGTTCTGGGAAAGTCAAAATGAACACAAATTTAAATGCAGCTCCAACCTGATGCAATATTATTAGATGTATAATTACATTCATAACTGCAGAGGATTTCTCTTTATAACGTATGAAGACGCTGTAGCTTTAACTTTATTTTAACTATTTTCTTCTCTCTGTCTCTGTTTCTCTCTGCTTGCCCTGTAGAACAAGGGTCCCCAACCCCAGGTCCGTGGACCGCCACCAGTCCACGCCATACTAGAAACTGGTCCGCGCAAACAAAGCGAAGGCCCATCCACGGGATGCAGGCAGCACATGAAACCACACACCCTCCAGTCCGTGGAAAAACCTTTCTCCATGGAACCAGACCCTGGTGCCCAAAAGGTTGGGGGCCACTGCTCTAGAACAGGGGTATCAAACTGCCGGCCCGTGGGCCGAATGCTTCATGGTGAAACCATGCCTATCCCATTGCCAGCAATGGCAAAAAAGTTGAGATACGTCGCGACATGTCACATGACGTTGCAAGTTTGACACCCGTTCTAGAACATCATCCCTCCAGAGAATAAAAGGGACCCAATCCTGTTGGGTCTTCTGGAAGGCCTTGAAGACCTGGTTATGTGTCTGGGCTTAGGGTCCCCAAATGCGTGAAGGGCCCCATTTCCTGGCTGTGCTAACATCTGCCCACTATGATATTTCTTAACTGCTACACATATTTAATTTTCCATTTGGGGCTCTGCTTTTAATTGCTTTTATGATTGTTTGCCACCCAAAATTGCTTGTTTGTGATGGGTGGATTAATTAATTAATCAATCAAATCAAATCAAACCAATCAACTTCTTGGCTTGTATCAGTCATAGTGCTTCCTGCCAGCACACCTTGCTTCTGATTTACACTGAATAGATATATTCTTTTTAACTGGGTAAAAAAAAAATATCTCCTTCAGTCGACATCAATATCTACGTATGTCTTTGATCTTCTTTCTAATTTCCTCTCAGCGGAAGAGGAGACCCATTGGCCATTTATATGCGAAGAACAAAGAGGACCTTGCGTGGAGTTTCAGCTTGTTAATCGACCTACCTTCTTTTCTTCTACGCTATCTCCGCCAACGTAGGCCAGTCTCCTGCGAACGTAGAAGAGCATGTCATCTTGCCTCGGAGCCCATTTCTCCATAAAATAGGTGGAAAACATCCAGGTCCAGAATACAATGCGGTCATCTTTGAAACACCCTAATAAGGAAGTCAAAGGAAGGATTAAGAATCGGAGATATCAGATTGCATTTGTTCGGTTAATACAAAGATATCAACTGGGAAATTTGGCAAGCAGCGCAGATGGTCTCCTAGGTCCCCAAGCCCTGTCTTACCTTATATGGCAGCTTGTTATTTATTTAATTTGTATTCTACTTTTATTATTTTTACAAATAATTCAAGGCAGCTAACATATTCAACACACCTTCCTCTTCCTTTTTTCCATATAACAACAGCCCTGTGAAGTGGGTTAGGTTGAAAGAGAACGACTGGCCCAAAGTCACCCAACTGGCTTTCATAGCTAAGGTAGGACTTGAACTCAAGGTCTCCTGTTTTCTAGCCTAGTGCCTTAACCATGAGGCCAAATTGGCTCTTATGACATCTATGTTCCCCTATCACAGGGGCCTTCAAACTTGGCCCTTTTATGACTTGTGGACTTCAACTCCCAGAATTCCTCAGCCAGGCATGCCTGGCTGAGGAATTTTGGGAGTTGAAGTCCACAAGTCATAAAAGGGCCAAGTTTGAAGACCCCTGCCCTACTAGCATTTTAGGACAAAATCCAAATCTAGCATCTCTAGATTTCTTCACCTGCGATTCTCAGGTCTTGCCACAACAAAGCTCGTCACGCTGTCATCAAATTCCCTCTATTATAAAATCGGTAAAAAGATTGAAACGGTTACAGACAAAGTGATCTCTTGTTTGTTGAGCTTTACTTGTTCAAAAACACAAGTGCATGGTTGGGGAATATTTTCATGAGGCAAATGATTGTGAAATTCATTAGAATCTGACCTCCATTTATTACTGTCAATTACTTAAATCTGTCAGCCAGAAATGGAGACTCACAGCACCCTGCCAAGGCAATTTGGCAAGATTCGCCTACAACATCAACAACTTCACTGCAATCCTGCATTGGTTTGCTTGACAAACACATTAGCCTTGGAAAAAGTCTTTTCCCAATGGCTTGGCAGAGATCAAAAGCTGCACAGCAGAAGCAAAGAATCTTCTCTTTCCAGTTTCTTTTGCTGCAAATAGTTTGTTGAGAGATGAATTATATGGTCGTGACTTTTCAAATCGGGAAATCCAGCCATGTGGAAAGATTAGCAGATTCCCTTCCCTGTTTTCCCTGAGAATACCTGTATTAGTATTACAGCCTTGTTCTGCTAACTTAAAAAAAAGTCCATGCAATAAACATAGAGCAGAATACTTGAAACAGAACACAACGCTCAAGGGCTTGTCACTTAAATCCAGCACCAAAATCCAGCACTTTGCTATTTTGCTTTGCTAATCTTTGCTAATTTAATTTCGAAGAGGCAGAGGAACTAGAGATCAAATTGCCAACATAGGCTGGATCATGGAGAAAGCTAGGGAGTTCCAGAAAAACATCTACTTCTGCTTCATTGACTATGCTAAAGCCTTTGATTGTGTGGATCACAACAAATTGTGGCAAGTTCTTAAAGAGAGGGGAGTACCAGACCATCTTATTTGTCT